CACAGACTCGTAGCGGTAGTTTTAAAGATTGTTTACTTACACCAGAGATGGTCGTGGTGTAGGCTGGAAAACTTGCTTGAGTTGTGGTTACAGACAAAGACAACACGAACGGTCACGTGGAGTTTGCTAGGCTCCACGGAAACAGAGCTCCGGATGCTCTGGGTGAGCGCGCCACCAAAATCGGACTCGTAGATACGTCTTATAAAATTTTGTCGCTCGAAGACGGAAAGAGGTGGGCAATGGATCAGGTCGCCAAGCTCCTCTGAATCTCACACAGGGGTCTTTACTTCCCTGCCGTGTACCCAGAGTCCCCACCAGATGGATGTGGAGTCCTCTTCGGCTTGGGCGGAAACTGCTCAAGCCTCTTATACGGCTAACAGGCCAATCGTTAGCCACCACGTGGGAATAATTTAGAACTAGCCAATAGCGGGACACAAATCTGCATGCGGGTGGCGGGAACTCTTTTGCACCGTGCATTTCTCTTGCAACTTGAGCAATGCACTCTGCAAAGGAAGCTGCAAATAGGCGGGAAACTCTTCCTTGCACCGGGGTTCTCCTCTGCAGCAGAAAACTCTACTGTGCAACGAAGCTGCAATTTGGCGGGGATAATTCTGGTGCCAAAGCACACACAAAATCATACCTTTGGGTTATGACATAGATGACAGAAGTTCAGTCTGTGGCTGATAGTTCAGGGACAAAGGAGTAGATTCTGGCGATGTTGGGTCGCAGCTCCTTTCCTTCGTTTCTCCGATCTATCTGTCTCCATAGTGAAATGTTTGCTCAAAATGATTGATGCCTTGTTGTATATCATGACACCATGGAGCACGAGTCATCACTTGAGTCTCTCAGGTATTGATCCCAGGTATTGGCCAGAGATTATAGGAGGTGGTTAATATCTCATCTCTTCAGCCTGGCCAACAAGGTATCCTTGAGTGTCTTGTGCCCACCTGTAGAGTGGTGACCATTGGTGAATTGGGAGTACAGGACCTGTTTGGGGAGCCATTTGTCAGGCACCTTTATGACATGCTTTTTCCAGTGGAGCTAGTACCATATAAACATAGCTTCAATGCTGGTGGTGTTTGCTTCAGACAGAACACTAGTGTTTGTTCTTCGGTCCTTCCAATTGATATGGAGGATTTTCCAAAGACATCGCTAGTGGAGACATTCCAAAACTTTCAGGGGTTTCCAGTATGTTGTCCAAGTTTTACACCCATATAGCAGGGTAGGGATGACAACAGATTGCTAGATAAGTTTGGTTTGGGTCCTGATGTCGTGTTCATTGAAGATACAATTTTGGAGAAGTCCAAAGGCAGCGCTGGCAGATTTTATCTGGTGTTGAATATCCTTGTCTATATTTACTTTTTAGGAAAAGTGGTTACCCAGGTAGGAATAATGCTTAACATTCTCCAAGGATTGCCCTTGAATTGTAGCCCCTCGTTGGTTTTGGGTGGTTTGGTAAGGCTTTTGGGTTTTTCTGAAGTTGATAGTGAATCCCAGCATTTCACATGCAGCCCAAAAGCAATCACAAGCTACCTGGAGCTCTTCAACTGAGTGAGCACACATGACACAATCCTCAGTGTATTGAAAATCAGTATTGAAATTGTTGGTTATCTTGGATTTGGAATGTAACCAGTTGATATTAAAGAGATTCCTGTTCATATGATCCTGGTTGCTGACTTCAGATCCATCAGCAATGAGATGCGGAATAGCTGCAATATAGACAGAAAAGAGTGTTCATGGAAGCACACAGCCTTGCTTGACTCCAGTTCTAATAGTGATGGGATCAATTTCTGAGCCATTGCTTAGGCTTAGGATGGTTGCTTTCGTGTTGCTACTTTTATGGTTGAGGGCCTGCAGGCAAGACCCTATGAAGACAAACTGAAGGATCTGAATCTCTTCAGCCTCCACAAGAGAAGGCTGAGAGGCAATCTTGTGGCTGTCTACAAACTCATCGGGGGGGCCAACAGGGGCTAGAGGACACTCTGTTTACCAGGGCTTCCCTCGGGGTTACCAGGAGTAATGGCCACAAACTGAAGGAGAACAGATTTAGATTGGACATAAGAAAGAAATTCTTTACGGTAAGGGTTGCCAAAATATGGAATGGGCTTCCAAGGGAGGTGGTGCTTTCCCCTACCCTGGAGGTGTTCAAGAGGAGATTAGACAGGCATCTGACTGGAGTTACTTAATCCCAGCGCTCTTTCCTGCCTGGAGCAGGGGGTCAGACCTAATGATCTACCAGATCACTTCTGACTCTAGAAATCTATGAAATCTATGTTGTCATGAAGAAGTCTAATAATGGTAACAAAATTTGGTAGGTATCCAAATCTCATCAGCATCTTCCATAGGGTGTCTCTGTTGATTGAATCATAGTCAGGTCAACAAAGGCCATATGAATATCTCAGTCTTGCATGTGGAACTTCTTCTGTAGCTTTCTAGCAATAAAGATCATATCTATTATACCTCTGAGTGGTCCTAAACCACCTTGGGACTTGGGTAGAGCTCCTTAGTGAGGAAAGTAAGTCTAGTGAGGAGAATGTGGGCACAGATTTTCCTAGCTCTGGACAGGAGTGCAATACTACAATAATTGTTGCAGTCTAACCTATCTCCTTTCTTGAATATGGTAATGATTCTGGCATCCCAAGTCACTGGGAATCTGTTCATGCTTCTAGATTTTCATAATAGTAACATCTAGTCAGACAGAGATTTTTTTGTCCAGCTTGCATATACATTTCAGCTGGTATTCTGTCAGGACCACCTGCCTTGCTTTATCTGCTTAATGTCTTTCAAGACCTCTTGATAAGTTGGTGGATCTTCATGGTAGTCCTTTATGAAGTGTTGTGGAATGGCGTTGATGGTATTTTGTCTTCAACATCAGAATCTTGGTTCAGGAACTCTTGAACATGATCCTTTCACCATCCGTTGAGGGTTGAGCTGCCTTTAAAGAGTGGGCCATCCTTGGACCTCAGAGTGAGTTTCTTGTGTGCTTGGCCCATAAAAACTTTGGTTGCCCTAAAGAAATTATGCATGTCATGGCTATCAGCAAGCTTTTGAATCTCTTTCACTTTATGATGAGCCGGTACTACATTGTACCTCTTTATTGGGCCACCTGTCCCAAAAGTTAGACTCAGATGCTATTGATGGAGCCTCTCCAAAGATTAGATGTGAAATTTGTAGCATAGTCCCAGCCTTGGTTCCTTGGTTGCTGCTTCTGTTCTTATCATTTTGGGGTGATATGAATGGACATAGTGGAACATATCAAACAATGATCTATGTAGCAGTCATCTATGCTGGTCATAGCTCTGGTCATATGGACATCACACCAGTCCCATTACACCACAATCAGGTGCCAGTGTTTTGAGCAGATGGTTTTTAGGTAGATGACTCTGTTTTTATGTTAGATTTAGAGCTGCCATCAAATTCATTTTTCTAAAACAAGGTTTCTGACTGTCCATAAATTTACCAATGGTCTGTAAAAAAACAAACAAACAACCAAACAAAAACAACCCAAAAAACCCCCCCAAACTCTAAAAATGCCTGTCCATAATAAAAATTGAGCTGTCTGTAAGACTGAGTTTATTTCAGAATCTGTGTGAATGAAACTAGATGCAAATGTGTTCAGACACAGATTGCAGAGTAGCACTACCTGGTATCATAAATGGGTGGCTGTTCAGAGCCCTCAGATGACTGTCTGTTTGTCAGGGCTTTCTGGCCCACTAGAGCCTCTGTAGCTCACTCTAACAATTGTTGCCACTGCACACCTGCCTGCTCAGTGCTCACTCTGAAAGTACTGTATACAGGGCCCACCAGCCCTAGGCTGGACAAGACAGGTGGAGCCATGGGCCAGGGTGATGTGGGGAGAGGTAGAGGGTGAGGGTTTATTCTGGGACATGATAG